ATAACTCTATGTATACCTATGTAACAGGGCAAGGGGAGGGAGCAAGGGTCAGGGGGCGGAGCTTCAAAGGCATCCCTGGACGCTAGCCTAAGGGCAGTCCTTTTGTTCTCTGACCACCGCATGCAGCCACAAGGCTGCAGACTCCAGGACCCCACCATGTGACGCTTGGGAGAAGAGGGGAAAATCTAATATCAATTTACCTGTGGAACAACCAGATTGCTACCATCTATTCTTGGAAGTACCTCTACAAAACTGTAAGTCTTGTCTAGGATCCCCAGAATAAAGCAATTATCTCTGTTTGTTCTTCTGAGTTAACTATCTGTTAAAGACTGGAATAAAGCTATTTTCCTGTCCAGAAACAGAATAGTAAATTGATATTAGATTTTCCCCTCTTCTCCCAAGCGTCACATGGTGGGGTGAACGGGAAGTCTGCAGCCATGTGGCTGCATGAGATGGTCAGAGAACAAAAGCACTGCCCTCAGGCTAATGTCCAGGGATGCCTTTGAAGCTCCGCCACCTGACCCTTACTCCCTCCCCTTGCCCTGTTACATAGGTATACATAGAGTTATACAAGAGAAATGGATCTATGATCCAGAACATGATGGGTTTTCCAGGAAGTGGATGGTGACAAGATAGGTGCTTAATTTTAAGTCTTCCAAGCGCTTTGAGCTCTCATTGTGTACAGTAGTTTGCAACATTCATCACAACATCTAGAAGAAATTAAGTCATCTATCTAATGGACCGAGAAGGGAGAAATCTATATCCTAGACTTAAAACACTCCAGTCATTTATATGATGTTAGCTGAGCTAATAAGAAAAGCTATTTTACATTTGTATAAATGTAATACAGTAATTATGTGATTTACTTTAAAATCAACAGAATGAAGGTTGCATCAACACTAGGTTCATGCATATTTATATGATAGCATATCTCAGTTACTGAAATAATATTGTGTTAATCAATAATTGTCTTCCAACTCCACAGTCCCAAAATGGTTGTGATTAAAGAAAAATTACAATCTGCATGTGACCTAATAGAAAAGTTATGTAACACATACTCGGTTTTATTAAGAGGCTTTAAATACAAAAAGCAGGTGGAAAGCTCCCTGTTGATTTGGAAGCTTCAAATATTATTTATAAATATTTTATACAGTATTTTAATGGGAACTGTAAACAGAATTCATTTTTTAACAAAATTATTTTTATGCATTAGCTTTCATCCAGTTAGATACAAGAACAGAGAGAATTTATTCTGATGATTAGAAAGATCTGAGGTAAGAATTGTTTTATGTAAGGGAATGAGAAGCCTTAAACTAATTCTTAATATTTTCCCAGTTTTACAAGCTGAATGAAAAAGACACACACTAACTGCAGTATATATTTGACCTCAACCATGAATTCTTAAGGTTATTTATAAAATACGTTGTACTTTTACAGACTTACAATACAGTGCTACAATGCCTATCCCAAAATGTATGGCACACTCCTGTGTAAGTACTACAGAATTTCCATGGAATTATTTTTGCATCCCAGAAGCATTAAGAATGCATTTTGAGAAAGGCCACATGTTTTCTAATACAGCATCCTCTTTTCTCAATTAGCCAGTCTAAAAACTGACCTACATTACAGAGTCAATGCCATAGCGCTTTTCTCTGTTAATGGTAGCACAGTGAACTCTAGGTAAAATGGAGAGAAAATAAAGGTAGTCCTCAACTTATGACCACAATTGAGCACAAAATTTCGTTTGGGAAGCAAGACAGTAGTTAAGTGAGTTTTAATTTTAGTTTTACAATCTTTTTTGCCACAGTTGTTAAGTGAATCCCTGCAGTTACTAAGTTAGTAACATGGTTGTTAAGTGAATCTGGTTTCCCCATTGACTTTGCTTGTCAAAAGGTGACAAAAGGTGATCACAGGACCCTGGGACATTGCAACTGTCATAAATATGAACCAGTAGCTAAGTGTCCAAATTTTGATCCTGTAACTATGAGGATGCTGCAATGGCTGCAAGTTGGAAAATGGGCATACATCGCTTTTTTCAGTGTTGTGATAACTTCAAATGGTCACTAAATGAATGGTTGTAAATTGAGGACTACCTATAACACTGTTGGCTTCTCCAGTGCATGCTAGCCCACTTGGCCCTATAGGTCTACTATATTTTGAGATAAAGCATCCATCATTTTAAACTCCCAGGAAATCATGGCTTTACATGAGGGTATTTAAAGAAATACAAAATAGTGGGTGCCCTGCAATTACCAACCCTTTGAAGGAGTAAGCAAAAACAGGTGACCAAATGTGTATACAAGTTATATCCAGTACCACTGATAGTTCCCATGGATCTTAGGTTGCTGCCAACTGCTGTATATGATCAGAAGACACTCTTCTGTTTGGAAAAAAGTATTCATACAGTTGCTTCTAAAAAAAACTTCAAAGCAATAGTGAAGTCCATATTTAAGCTGTGGTTAAACTCTGATGAAGCAAAAAACTTAAAATATTCTTACTGCTGTTTGTTCTCTGTATGTTAAAGGATCACCAATCCCAGTGGGCATTGATGTGCAAGTAGAAAGCATTGACAGAATTTCAGAAGTTGACATGGTAAGTTTTCTTTCAGTTGCTGAAAATGTAATTCAGAAATGCAAGTGAAATAATCAGCAACTTGATGATAAGGAATAAGAGAAAAAAAATTGGGCGGTGGGGAATCTTCAAATAATTGTGTATTATTCACTGAACAAGTGACTGTGTTTTATACAACTAATTATTCTGTCTGTTCCCTATCAAAACATATCTCTATTTGAGAAACTGAGAAAGATCTTATAAAAGCAAGCATCTTTCATATCATAAGCATAATAAAGACCTATTTATTCCTATAATAGTCTACAATTATTTTCACAAGAATAATGCAAAAAGGAAAATAAGCATATAAATTAAGAATAGGTAGACAGAATTTTTAAATAGTCCTATCAAATGAAAAGAGAGATGACTTATTCACATCATTTTGTAACAGGCAGAGAATGTCATTTCAGCTTTATAATATAATAGGCTTTCAAAGCTATCCCCGCCCCCATCTGGGCTCCTCTGACCATCTCTCAATGCTGCTTATTCCAGCATATAAACCTTTATTAGTCAGAGTGAAACCTACAGTAAAGCAGGTGAGGGTGTGGACAGAGGGAGCTATAGAAGCATTAGAAGGCTGCTTTGAGTGCACAGATTGGTGCATGTTTAAGGAAGCAGCTACTGATAACCAACATACAAATGTTGAGGAGTATGCCACCACGGTGTCTGCAAAGTACATAGAAGATGTCTGTGTCCTGAAAAGCATTGTTGTGAAGGCAAATGAAAAACCGTGGCTGACTTATGAGGTCCGTAAGATGCTGAAAGCACGGAATATGGCTTTTAAATCTGGTGACATGCTGGCACTTAGAACAGCCAGAGCAAATCTGAAAAGTGCCATAAAAGGTGCAAAGCAAGCCTATTACTAGAAAATTCAGAACTTTTTTCAGGACCCAACAAACACCAGGCAAATGTGGCAAGGGATCCAGGCTATCACGGATTACAATGTGACTCCATTGAGATGCAAGGACAACACAGACTTCCTAAACAAACTGAATGCATTTTTTGGTAGATTTGAGGCATCAAATAGTACTCCTGCTAGGAAAGCTGTGCCCCATCCTGACGAGCTAAGATTTGATGTCACCTCTGTCTGGAAAACACTGCAGAAAGTTAACATTCGGAAAGCAACAGGCCCAGATAACATCCCTGGACGTGTCCTCAGGGAATGTGCAGAGAAGCTGGCTTGTGTTCTCACAGATATTTTCAATCTCTCATTGCAGCAGGCAGTGGTCCCATCGTGTTTTAAGATGGCCATCATCTTGCCAGTGCCAAAAATGTCCACAATTACAGGCCTCAATGATTACCGTCCAGTTGCACTGACATCCACCATCATGAAATGCTTTGAGAAGCTGATAAAGGACATTATTGTATCTAGCCTCCTGCCAGCATTTAATCCACTTCAGTTTGCCTGACCAAATCGTTCTATGGAGGATGCTATTTCTTCCATTCTCCATCTGAGCTTGAAGTACTTAGAGGAAAGAAATGCTCACATGCGTTTGTTGTTTGTCGACTTCACTTCAGTGTTTAACACAATCATTCCCCAGCATCTAGTAGACAAACTGGGCCTCTTAGGCTTAAACACTCCTTTGTGCAACTGGATTCTTGATTTTCTTACCAACAAGCCCCAATATGTGCAAGTTGGAACAAATACTTCTAATACCATTTCCTTGAGCACAGGTTCTCCTCAGGGCTGCATCTTAAGTCGGCTGCTGTTCACCCTGTTGACCCATGACTGTTGTGCTAGGTTTGCCACCAACCATATTGTGAAGTTCACAGATGATACAACAGTTGTGGGCCTTATTCAGGATGACAAGGTGGAAGCTTACTGCAAGGAGGTTGAAGGGTTGGTGAACTGGTGTAAGGAAAACAGCCTAGTTTTAAATACCGGAAAAACCAAAGAGATTATTGTCGATTTCAGAAAAGGCAGGCACAGCCACACATCTCTGTGCATCAATGATTCACCTGTGAAGATGGTTACCAGCATCAAATTCCTGGGTGTGCAGCTAACGAGTAGGCTGGCTTGGTCGCTCAACAGTGAGAAACTGGTGAAGTGGGCCCAGCAGCGCCTGCATTTTCTGTGTCGCATGAGAATAGCACATCTTCCTTCCCCTGTCCTGACCACTTTCTACAGGGGGACGATTGAGAGCATCCTGTCATACAGCATCACAGTCTGGTTTGGAAACATCAGTGCTTCAGACAGGAAGGCAGTGCAGAGAGTGGTGAGAATGGCCGCAAAGACCATTGGCAGTCCCTTCCTTCCCATCCAGGACACAGCACAGAAGCGTTGCTTGAGCAGGGTCCGTAAGATTATCTGGGACACTACACATCCTCTTCACGACCTGTTTTCCTTGTTACCTTCTGGGAGGAGGCTTTGTGGTATCCGCAGCAGAACATCCAGATTCAGCCATAGTTTCATTCCATACAGCATTAACTTTGTGAACTCTCAAGCATCCTCCTTCCGTTATATATTCAAGATGGACAGTATTTAATATTTATTTGTTATATATACATAGGAGTGTGGGTCTATGCATATGTTGTATATAGTATGTTTTAGGTGTGTGTCATGTATGTGCTTCACTTTGAGAGCGGGCAACTAAATTTCATTTTTGATGTGTGTCATTGTGCCCACAGTAAAAAAATGACAATAAAGGTTATCTTATCTCATCTCATCTCATCTTATTATTTTTTGTAGCCATTAAACTTGTAATACCCATTTCCAATACAGGTGGTCCTTGACTTACAATCAATTTTTTAGTAACTGTTTAAAATTACAATTGCACTGAAAAAGGTGACCTATGACCAGTTTTCACACTTGCGACTATTGCAGCATCCCCAGTCATGTGATCAGAATTCGGGGACTTGGCAACTGGCATGTATTTATGACAGTTGCACTGTCCCTGGGTCATGTGATCATGATTTGTAACCTTCCAAGACAGCTTCTAGCAAGCAGTTAATGGGGGAAGCCAGATTCATTTAACAACTGTGGCAAAAAAGTCATAAGATGGGGCACAACTCACTTAACTCTCTTGGAAATTTTGGGTTCTATTGAGGCTGGAATTCGAGGACTACTTGTATCTTCCTATTAATCTCCAATTCTTGGTATGTATTTTCAGAATATGCCAGCACAGGGAAGTACATGATATGAAGATTATATCAAAATTATGAAGTTTGCATTGTGATATCATGATGTAAATCTTACCCTTATGTACTCGTAGCATGATATCTGATGCAATTACACAAGTTATAGAATTTGTTTTAGCCCTGTAGCTGTCCCTGATCATAAAGGTCTACAAAAATCTGTGAATATTAGTAGGCAAAGTAAGATGAATTTTTGAGTCCAAAAATAGCTATTATAAAGTTGATATATTAACATTCTGAGCACCCATCCCAAAAGTTAGTTCAACCTTCCAATTTGTTTATAAAAAGATTTATAGGTGTTCAATACATAGAAACCATTTTTTCCTAAGTGCATTGTAATTTTAAATCTATTGAAATATTGAATAATAAGCTTATTATTTAACATATGCAACCTGTACTGCTGAAATATTGGTTATGCCACATGAAACAATATTCCATCATGCTGAAATATTTTGTGAATAAACTAATAATAATAATAAAGTTGGAAGGGACCTTGAAGATGTTACAAGGTATATTGAGATGTGGACAAAGCATCTCTCTGCAGCTCCTTAAAGCAGTTACACCTTTTGTTGGAATCATGCTTCTTCATAGTCCAAAGTAAATTTTTGACTTTTAATGCTAATAGTCTAACTACTAATTCTTATTAATGGTTTCACTACTGATGAGCAATGTTAGCCATGGCATCTTTAACAATTATTATTATTAAATGGATAAATGCATATTTGGTATTTTTTCCTCTTCTTTTTATATAGGATTTCTCAATGACTTTGTATCTCAGGCATTACTGGAAGGATGAAAGACTCTCATTTCCTAGTACCAGAAACAGAAGCATGACCTTTGATGGAAGATTAATAAAAAAGATTTGGGTACCTGACACATTTTTTGTTCATTCTAAAAGATCTTTTATCCATGACACAACCATGGAGAATATTATGTTACGTATCTATCCAGATGGCAATGTGCTCTTCAGTTTACGGTAAGCACAGATCTCTTACCTTTCAGTCAGGAGAACACATACAACACAGGAGAATTACCATGGGGAGTGGGATACTTTAGTCCTCCCATAGTTGGTATCTTCTAGATCAGGGGTCCCCAACCCCCAGTCTGTGGACCAGTACCGGGCCACAGCATGTCAGCAACTGGTCCGCACAAACAAGCAAAGCCCCATCCGCGGGATGCAGGCAGCACAGAAAATCATGCACCCTCCAGTCCTCAGAAAAACCTCTCTCCATGGAACTGGTCCCTGGTACCCTAAAGGTTGGGGACCTCTGCTCTAGATGTAAGGGAATATACCTCCCCATAATTCTTAGCTAACAAGGTAACAAAAACCATAGGAATGGTATAATTCCACAACATGTTTGGAATATGTCTATTTAAGAAAGGTTTATTTATATAACCTGTAGAGCCAATGCAACCCTCCCTGAATTTACATCAGTGTTGTGTGACTTTAAGACCCACAGATCACTTTCACCGCAATGTTTCTTCCATGTCTGTCTAAATTTGCATCTGTCTAGCCATCAAAAGTCAGTTTGCATTAGACAAGCCAGATTCTCTCAATCTTAAGTTTATCCACACTGCCAAATGGGGATGATAATAACACACTTCCTTGGTCTGGTTTAAAACAACTAAAATATAGTAATGTATGTTTTGCCAATTCACAAAGAATACACAAATGTTGTTTCTGCTGATTACACAGTAACATATCAACATAACGCTGTCATTTTCCTGTGCTCTGACAAAAGAATCCTTGGGGTGAGTTTCAGGCAAAAGATGGGCCTCTGGCTCTGCTGATGATCTTGTATGTTCCATAGGACAGTTATGGTGAACCTTTTAGAGACCAAGTGCCCCAAAACCGCCCCCTACCCCCGCCCCTGCTCCGCCCTGCCCACTGGGCCACCCACCACCTCTACGGCCCACCACAGATCACCCAGGCAGCCCAGCAGCACCATGGCAGCCATGCCCTCCAATCATGCCCCACAACATCATCTGCGCACGACGGGGCACAAGGGCAGAGTCTTGTCCCCGCTGCCTGGCTACCATGTCCTTGACTGCGCTGCTTTGCGTGGGCCACGCCCAGGGGTGACTCTCCTCCGGGATGGCTGCTGGTGAGGAGGGGGCCGTGGGAGGAGGTGGAGCTGGGGAGATGGTGCGTGTGCCCACAGAGAGGGCTCCGAGTGCCGCCTCTGGCACCCGTGCCATAGGTTCGCCACCACTGCCATAGGAGATAATCATGCAGATCAATCCTGTTATTGATCTAAAAATGACCCAATATAAGGTTGTATTAGAAAGCTCAGTTAAAAATCTCAAAGTGGAGAAAAGAATTCTGGTCATAAATCAGAAAAAAAAAGAAAAGAAAGGAGGTTGGAAAAGAATGCAGAATCTTCCCAACCCCTTTTACCAATAGCAGTCTTATGTTCAGATATATGCATTCACTGTGAAGCCAATGGCTCTACTCTGGATCAGATGACTTGGAGGGATGAGGGAAAGAAGTTCATAAAGGAGCAGTTTTAAGTTTTATTTTAAGTGCCTGTTTTCTAAAAGTGTACTGGGAGAATTTTTTTTTTTTTTTTTTTGGTCTGCAGCCCCCAACCAGATTCAGTGCATTTCTGAAATCAGGGTGGGTTTTTTTTCCCATTTATTCCTTTTTACATCAGCTTTTGCCCAATGTTGTTCAGAGGATTATGCTGCTGATGGACTGACAATTGGGTTCCTTTGCATACTTTCTTTCCAATATTTTATTGGTTTGGGAAAATAAAAAGAAAGTAAGAAATAGGAGAGATGAGTTTGGTAACAGAAGTTTCTCCCAATGGCAGAAAGATAATGATGATGTTAACTGCTATTGTCTAATTCAGCAGTCTCCAACCTTTTTGGCTTGGTGGTCTGGTGTGTGTGTGTGAGAGAGGATAGTTCGCTGTGAGTGGTAGGCAGGTGCGTGCAAGTGGTGCAGCTCCATTGGTACAAATGGCGAGTGCATGTCTGCTGCTCACACAAAAGGAACTTTGCAAGCAAGTGCAAGTGGCTGCCAGTCGTACAGCTCGGTTCCAAACAGGCCACTGTCCTGTAGTGGGCCACAGCCAGGGGGTTGGGGACCCTGGTCTAATCCCTGTCTTCAAGATCACAGCAGGTGGGAATTTCATGGTGCTGGAGAATGTCATCATATTTATCCTGAAGTGATTGGGATATGATAAAGTGGGAAAGAGAACTGAGCTTGTCCACATTGTTGGAGCTTTTCCCCTGAAAACTCCTTTGTAGTTTTGTTTTTGCTATCTTGAAACAAGAGCCAATCCACATTTGATATATTCTCCTTCTCTGAATTAAAATGTGAGAGCATAAAAGTACTTTTAGGAAAACTTGAGAAATAAATATAAGAGCCCACTGAAATACTTCACATTGAAGCACTTCATTAATTGTGAATCATTTTATGATTACTGAGGTTATTATCTATTCTTTTCTTTTGACAGGATAACAGTTTCTGCTATGTGTTTCATGGACTTCAGTAGATTCCCACTTGACACTCAGAATTGTTCTCTAGAGTTGGAAAGCTGTAAGTCTAGCTTTGCTAAGAAATATGTTTTCCAAATGTAATAGGTAGCCTTACATATAATTCATTTTAAAGGTATGTAAATCAACATTTGGCTATTGAAGAATACTGGTGTTACCAAATGTTTTTGAGAAGTGATCTCCCATCGCATTTCTAAACATTTGTGAAAGAAGACAGAGTAACCGAAAGGCAGCAGTCCCCAAACTTTCCAGCTTGGTGGCCCGCCTTGCTGGGTGTGTGAGTGGCAGGCATGTGCGGGCACCCACAGCTCCATTTATGCTAGTGACATGAGTGCCCTCCACTTGCACGAATTGAGCTTCCTGCGCGAGTGAAGGGTGCTTGCGCTCACACACGAAGCTCCACTTTCATGAGTGGCAGGCACTTGCGCTCATGTGCAAAACTCTACTCACATGAGCAGAGGATGCTTGAGCAGAAGATGCTTGTACTCACACACGAATGGAGCTTTGCGTGCGAGCGCAAGTGCCCTCTGCTCATGTGAGTGGAGCGTCACATGTGCATGCTTGCCCATTTTTCCTGTGGCCTGGTTTTAAACAGGATGCAGCTAGATAGTCGGCCACCGCCTGGGGGGTTGGGGACCCCTGCCCAAAGGTGCTTTTCAAAAGACAACTGAACTTCCTTTGTTTTTTTGATTGAATGGTGGGCAATGGAAGGATTTATATCGTTTGCAGTCATGCTTCTTTGACTGCAAAGAATATAAATCCTTCCGTTCTCCACCATTCAGTCCGAATGGATGAGAAACGAAATGTCTTTAAAGAAAAAACCAAGTCCAGTTGCCTTTTGAAAAACTCCTTTGGGACAACCATGACCTGGATGACTGAGAATCTTCACAGACAAGACAAAGTAACCAGTTCCTATCCTGTGCCAGTAAATATATTACAAGTTTTAACTTTTCATCTTTGATCAACTGTGCTCTGACATTGGATGAACAAAACCAAGATAATCTCCAGCCATTAGCCACATTTGCCCCCAAAACTCAACCACAGCCCCAGAAACACCCCAAATATGGCTACCACATTGCAATTTGAATGTGGTAGAGTAAACACAAAGTTTCCCTCAATTCAAAAGGGAATTTTGTTTTCTTAGCAGCAATGAAATAGTTTGTCACTGCTTTCTTCCAGGATGTTTTTATTTTTTATTTTTATTTTACTTTCCTACCCTAGCATACAGCTTGGAGGTCTCCCATTCACATTCTAACTAAATTTAGTTAGACTCGCAGGGGTAGTCAACCTTGGCTCTTTTATGACTCGTGGACTTCAACTCCCAGAATTCCTGAGCCAGCATAGCTGGCTCAGGAATTCTGGGAGTTGAAGTCCACGAGTCATAAAAGAGCCAAGGTTGACTACCCCTGAGTTAGAGGTTAAGAAGCAGTCAGACAGGCAGAAGACAGGCAGATCAAATCTATGAACACCAAGTAACAGCCAGAACAAAAAATGACAATTCTTTAACTTCACAGTACATGGACAGACTCAACAATAGTTTCAACTGGGAAACTGAGCATTCTAATCTAGACCAATCTAAATCCAGAAGCACTATGGAATTCCTGGAAGCTTAGCCTTCAGACAAATCAGTCCTCAGTAGACACAAAGAAATAATTTACATGCCATTTTAATGAGTGAAAAAGCTAAGAAACAAACAAAAAGGTCTCCAGCAGCCAACATCCAAGTAAACAGGTATCAACACCAGGCAAACAATCAATAATAATAATATCCTAGTCAAGGAACTACCATGAACACTACACCCCCACCCAAATTGGCAAGGCAAACTATGGTATCTACACAGGGAGTAAACATCACACTTGTTTGCACTGTCAATTTCCTGTCAGTAACGAAATGCCTACAAGCAAACCACCATGCTCAGAGAGTACCAAGGATTCCAAGATCTATCCTAGGATTAACTACTATTGCTCCATTTGAAGAACAATACTCTATTTGAAGGGGTCTTTTATTTTAGCAGTGGGCAACTGTAAGCTCCTGAGCAACATAGGATCCAAACCTTCTTTTGGGAGTCCCTTCTGACCAGACCTGCCAAAAACAAATGCATTTTTTTCAATCTGAGATGGAGAACATAGAAAATATTAATATATGTCCTAAAATATGATAATAAAATTTAAGAAATAGAAACCCCACCTCCCTGAACGTCTTGCCAATCGAGACAAGAGCTACATCATATGAGACTATTATTTCGCATATGATGAGAACATGATAGAAGATAAGTAAACATACAGTATATACACAGTCCACTTAATTATAAGTGAAACTTCTATGGGGATATGGTAGTGACCTCATAACTGGATGTCCAATTCAGCTATCCAGGTGATTGCTTCTGTATTGCTTCATACAGATCTTCTAGGAAACCAGAGAACATATCTTGCACAATATGTTTAATAGTTTGCATATCACCATCACAATCGCAACAAGGAGAATATTTCCATCCCCACTGATACAAGGCAGAGGCACTTTTCAATTTCAATTAGAATAGAGCTGGAAGAGACCTTGGAGGTCTTCTAGTCCAACCTCCTGATCAAGCAGGAGATCCTATAACCTTTCAGATAGGTGGCTGTCCAGTCTTTTCTTAAAAACCTCCAATGATGAAGCACCCACAACTTCTGAAAGCAAGCTGTTCCACTGGTTAATTGTCCTCACTGTTAGGAAGTTTCTCCTTAGTTCTAGGTTGCTTCTCTCCTTGATCAGTTTCCATCCATTGTTTCTTGTCTTGCGTTCTGGTGCTTTGGAAAATAAGTTGACCCCATCTTCTTTATGGTAGCCCCTCAAATACTGGACTACTGCTATCATGTCAGTCCTAGTTACTCCTTCGTCCAGTATCATATCTAATTGTTCAATTTTGACCAGGCAAAATGAGGCAGGTTAAAAACCAGGTGGTTTGGTAGAGGTTTTATATGAGATGATAATATGACATGATTCCATATAATCGCTCCTTTGTTTATTTGAAAGGCTGCTGAACTACCATCCTCAAATCTGGTGTCAAGATAGAAAATTAGCAAGGCAGGGCTTGGAAACCACCTACCAATAGTTAAATAGATCAGGCAGGCAAAAAAAGATCATTTTATCAATCTTCACTGCTATAGTGAGGTAAAATAGATTTCTAATAAAATTATAATTCTTTCCAAATTTCCATCTATGGGTTACAAAGATGAAAGCTGTAATCAGTGGTGTACCAGGGTGGTGTGGTAGTGATGGTGATTTGATCAGAGTGCAGATCTTAGGTTATCTCTATGTAGATGCTGCCAAAGACAAGGAGGAGGATAGAGGTTGGTATGGAGTTGGGTCCTACTGCCAGTGCACTAGCACAACAGTGGCATAGGAAAAAAATATGTGTGCCTTTAAGTCAGCTTTGACTTCTGACAATGACCCTGCAGTTTTATTGACAGCATTTTTCAGAAGTGGCTTGCCCTTGCCTCCTTCCTAGGGCTCAGAGAGAGCGAGAGACCCAAGGTCTTCTTGTTGGCTTTGAGCCTAAGGCAGGATTAGACTCATAGTCTCCTGTTTTCTGTCTGTTGCTTTAACTACTACATCAAGAGGAGGTGGCTGTTTAAAAAAAATCCACTTGAGGTGGATGCTAGGTATGTCATTGATTACAGCCAAAGTAGGAAAGCAAGAAGCTAGAGATATGTGCATACATGTATAATAACAATCATAGCCAACTTTTTTTAATAATTCCACAGATGCTTACAATGAAGAAGACTTGATGCTGTACTGGAAACAGGGCAATGAATCTTTAAGTACAGATGAGTACATTTCTCTTTCTCAGTTTTTCATTGAAGAATTTAGTGCTTCTAGTGGATTAGCATTCTACAGCAGTACAGGTATAGTACTCTTAAGAGTGAGAAATAGATGCCGTGATAAATGTGTATTTATTTTGATCTTAGCAAATAAAAATATCGGTAGGATTACAAAGAAAAACAGTTCAAAAGAGGTGCTATTTTTCCACACCCTGGATATACAGTGTTCATTTAATCTTTGATTTATATTTTACTAACTTTATATGACATCCATTTAAAAATAATAATAAAAGACCTAATGTGTTTTTTTTAAATTAAATGAATGAGCTGAATTTTCCTCACATCCTTTCTTGAAGTATGTGGCCATGTTTGTACTTTGAACTTTCTATACCAGGGGTTTCCAACCGGGGGTGCGAGACGATATTCCACGGGGTGCGAAAACTTGGGTTTTCAAAATTATAGTGTATATGCATAATTCATTGCTGTTATTAAAACTTTTGTAAGGGGAATATATCAGAAGCGTTCTAGGGGGTGCGGGATATAGAAAAGGTTGGGAGCCACTGTTCTATACCTATTTGATTGTTCTATGCAATCTGTCTACTGCCCATCAAGCCACTTTTCCGAAGGATAAATTTCACCTGAAGTCTTGCATTATAGTGTTCACTATAGCTGAAGACATAACTGCAAATCAAATCATTTTAATACTTTTGCACTTGACTGATGGTTTAAAGAGGGTACCTGCCATAGAACACATTATTATCATAATAATTTTTGGAGACTTTAATAAATTGTCAGCAAATGCTTATTCAAAACTTCACATTCAACTTATTAAAATAAGAATTTTGTGGCAGTGTCTAAGAAAGGAACAACTTTGCTGTAAGATTGATAATACAATTGTTCAACCGTGAATTGTGCAAATGGTGAACACCTGACTGCAATGGTTGTAAATGCCCTCTGATTGCAAAGCACCCAAATTTCATTCTTGTGACCACAGGGATGCTTAATGGTTGTAAGTGTGAGGGTCAGTTGTAAAATTACTTTTTCAATATGATGTAACTTTGAATAGTTGCTAAATAAGGCAGTTATTCAGTGAGGACTACCTGTAGTTACATTTGCCTACTGTTGAACATTTCTTTTACTCTCCATTTTCTTATTTCTTTATAGAGCTGTGTTGATGTATTGCAGAAATGAAATTTCTTTGTTACTAAGCGCATACTATACAAGATGTGCATACTGTTGAGTTGCTGATGTCTCTGCTATCAGTCTCACTAATGCAATGAATTCTTCTTTCTCCAATTTTTGCTGAGATTGTTCAGTGTTTAAATAGCCATACGTGGGTGAAAAGTCTCAAAGACAGGACCCACAGTAGTTTGTATATTCCCATCTGAGGTCTCCGGGTGATTGACCTGAGGATGATAAAATTATATCCCAGTGTATCAGTCTGAAACTGCAAAAGATCGTTTTATAAAGTGGAGTTGGGACTGAACCCATAGTAATACTGTAAATATACCCATACTGCAACCTTGTCCAAGACAAGGCATGATTAGGGATGATTTAGACCTGATTTCTCTCACTAATTTATTTATAGAAATCTGCTTGAATATCAAAGAATGTGTCAAAAATAAAAGTGAAGGTGAGAAATCTTTCATATAAAGAACCTCTAGAATAAACAGTTAAAGCAGCTATTTAAAAGTAGAAGTCACCTTATCATGTCAGGTTTTTAAAAAAGCATTAAGCCAAGTGAAATAAACATAGGTGGAGTGAAAACATAAATGGGAATATAATCCAAAATTGGGATGGAATGATTCATGTTACAGAATACGGTTAAGGGTCATTAAAGAAGGACATTTAATAAATATTTAATAAGTTTCTCATAAAAGAAAAATGTAGTTCTTTTAGAAAGGCATTGTAAAGTCAAAGGATAATATAAAATTGCATGGGCTAGATATTAAGATATGTCTTATGTTTTTCTACAGGTTGGTACAATCGACTTTTTATAAACTTTGCTCTACGGAGACATATTTTCTTTTTTGTTTTACAATCCTATTTCCCCTCTATGTTGATGGTGATGCTATCTTGGGTTTCCTTTTGGATAGACCGAAGAGCTGTTCCTGCAAGAGTATCATTAGGTAAATTTTCATTATAAATTATTTTAGGTTGTTTGAAGAGCCTGGTGGTTAATAGTTACATTGTATTTATGAAATGTCTTACAGGAACTGTTTGACTATAGCCGTGGTGGCGAACCTATGGCATGTGTGCCACAGGTGGCATGCAGAGCCCTCTCTGTGGGCACGCGTACCGTCATCCCAGTCCTAGGCCTTCAGCTGAGTTTTATAAAACCTTTTCGCTTTAGGCCCCCGCTGCCATGTGCAAAAAAAAAAAAAAAAGGTTCAATCAATCAATCAATTTCAACTTCTCACGGAAAAAAAGATCTCGCAAAGTTGGAATTGATTGATTGAACTTTTTAGTCCCACCCAGTCTGCTGTTACGACCACAGCCACACCCACCCAATGGGCCACGCCCAGCCAAATGGCCATACCCACCCAATGGGCCACGCCCACCTGGAACTCGATGATACATAAGTGGGTTTTGGGTATAGTTTGGGCACTCGGTCTCTAAAATGTTCACCATCGCTGGACTACCGGAAAGCAGATGATAATTATTCCGATCTATCTGGTTTTATATAGTTTTCTATTCCATTTTAGGAAAAAGAATGGAGTTCCTCCTTCCACAAGTCGCCCATTGATCATAAAGGTGCTCTGATATAACAAGAGGAAATATAGATTTCCTGAAAGAATTATTAGCACCATTTCTTGGAAAATGGTGTGTTCCAGAGGAAATAATTAGTTTGCTCTGCATGAAAACAATTTGATTGGATTCTCTCACACACCACATATACATCTATGCACCCTCACTGAGGCAACCTATATAAATCCATCCTGAGTAAACACATACATGTATAAGCAAGGCAAAGGCAGTATCTATGTAGACATCCCAGTTTGACCCTGGAGATAAAAGGTATATGGTACTATGCTGTAAATTCACACACACAAAAATATAGATGCCTCCTATGGCCACCATAATAATAATAATAATAATAATAATAATAATAATAATAATAATAATAATAATAATAATAATAATAATAATAATAATAATAATAATAATAATAATAATAATAATAATAATAATAAAAAAAGTTGGAAGGGACCTTGGAGGTCATCGAGTCCAACCCCCTGCTCAGGCAGGAACCCTACACCATTTCAGACAAATGGCTGTCCAGTCTCTTTTTAAAAACTTCCAGTGTTGGAGCATTTACCGCTTCTGGAGGCAGGTTGTTCCATTGGTTAATTGTTTTAACTGTCAGGAAGTTTCTCCTTAGTTCTAAGTTGCTTCTCTCCTTGATCAGTTTCCACCCGTTGCTTCTCGTCCTGCCTTCAGGCGCCTTGGAGAATAGCTTGACTCCCTCTTGCTAAAGGAGTTTTAAAAAATGACATTCTCTACATGCTTTCTTTATATTGTTTTAAAATCCTGCTTAAGATACAAGGCCACATTTTGAAACCAAATAAATAATTGATCTTTAATGCTTTCTTCTTCAATTATTAATTGTAGAATAAGTGAAAGCTATGATGCTTAAAACATGTTTAATGGATTATGATATCCTAGTTTTCAATCATGGTTTTGACGTATCTGCTTCCAGAATCAGAACTGCAGGAAAGATTTAAAAGAGAATATTAATTTTCCATTATTCATCCTAATTAACATAACGGTATTCCCCATATGGAATTTTGCTTCTATTTTAAAATATACTGTTAAGAGCTATCAGTTTTTAAGAGTTATCAGTTTATAATAACGATGTAATAATAATATAGGGATTTGCTAAAAAAGCAATTGCAGAATGTTTTAAAAGTAAATAATTGCTCTTCTCACGTAATGTGGTCACCACATTTTATTATTGTTAAAGTGAGAATAAACAATCTTAACTAAATATTGGGCTTTATATTAAATATTTATAAAATGCCCACCATACAGGAAGCATAATCTGTTCCAGGATAATTGTATTCAAATATAATTGTAATTGTAATCAAATATATCCTTCACACTGCGTTTTTCTCCAAGCTTGAATTAAAAGATTTCCTGATTCTACATGCTGAAGTACTAAGACAAATAGAACTGAATCATTTTCAAAGGGTAAAACGAAAAAAAAAAATCAAGGTCAGCTTCATATTTTCAGTCAAAATCATAAATAAAGTAGTGGCTCTATTAACCTATTGTGTGTTGGTTGAAATCTGGTAACAACTTTATATGAGGTGCTCCATTAGTTATTTGTTATAATAAATACTACATTTTCTATCCACGGAAAGAAAGAAAAACAAGATACCCACAGCCATTTCCACCCATACCCTTATTGTGCATATTTTCATAGAATGCAACAACAAACTGATAGCACTCCTAACTTTTCCTTTCTTTTGGCAGGTATAACTACTGTGCTGACAATGTCAACCATAATTACCGGAGTAAGTGCCTCAATGCCCCAGGTGTCTTATATAAAAGCTGTGGACATATACTTATGGATCAGTTTTCTTTTTGTCTTCCTATCTGTTATTGAATATGCAGCTGTAAATTATCTCACAACAGTGGAAGAGCGAAAACAGCTGAAAAATAGAGGAAAGGTATATATTTGCAAGTATTTTTCTCATGTAAAAATATTCAAAAATAAGTAAAACAATAATACCATACTATGTAGAAGTGTTTTTTCCCCTCAGTTTCAATTCTTTTGATAATGTTCATTCTAAACATTGACAAATTAATTTCAGTTTAAAATAAAACTCCTCGGGGAAACTAGGTCCAATAGCATTGTAATTGGATATTGGAAAGTTCCATTTTTGGAACAGAAATTTATGGGGGCCCCTCAGAATCACTGAGATCATAATGTATTTGACATTAAGGGTTTCAGATTCAGGAAAGGAGACTTGGAGACTGAAGAAGTGGGGAACGGGGGGGGGCTGAGATAGATAAGAAGATAAGATAAGATAAGATAACCTTTATTGCCATTTTTTTACTGTGGGCACAATGGCACACATCAAAAATGAAATTTAGTTGCCCGCTCTCAAAGTGAAACACATACATGACGCACACCTAAACAAACTATGAACTACATATATATAGACCCACATCCCTACATATACGTAGCAAATAAATATTAAATACTGTCCATCTTGAATATATAACGGAATGAGGCTCCTAATTTGCTCTTCCTTAAATTAGACACTGGATGATAGCTCTGAAGTTTACTATTCCTTTTCTTGTTTGAATTTATTTGTACCAAAACATGTGGAAGAGCTGCAAACATTGGGTTTTGTTTTTGTTTTTTGCAATTTGTCACCTATGCTGCAATGAAATATCAGAGCACTTTGGAATGTTCTGCTTAGGAGTGCTTTATTATTTGATTTACATTGAATACCAGGAGGCATTACATGACTGTTTCCAGCCTGTTTGGGACTCATTAGTCATTCCGTATATGAACAGGACAAACCAATCATATACTATATCCCAGTGCTCAATATTTTCCTATTAAAATAGCATTTCCCCCCTTAAACTTCCAACCAGCTGCGCCTGTCCTCCAAGGTCTTTTTAAAAAAATATATTTTATTAATGTTTTACAATAACAATCTTTAGTGCTTGGTAAACAACGTGTTGTCTGGTTTCATATATTTAACAACAATCAATAATTGTTAATTTCTATGATTCCATAATCAACATACTAGCTAGTGGTACATTTCTTTGATCTTCTCTTCTTCTAATAATATTTTCCTTTTGCCAACATTGAGTAAGTGCAATTCTTAGTATTTTTGATACATACGAAGTTGAATGAAAACATTTTTCTAGTGTTTATACAAATAATATCAACATCAGTGTATAACATCTTTTCTAATCAGCTTATGTTTTAGTTGTATTTACAAAGAATTATTTTATTAAATCACTATACATCCTGTTTTCAAAGTTCTTATTTAAGATTAATTTCCCCTCAATATTCAAAACATTCTTGTCAATTATAATTTTCTCAAAATTAATTACATTTAAATGTTCAGACATTTCGTTTACATAAGCCATCCCAGTATTTTTTATAGTTCTCATCTCATAAAAGAAAAAAAATGCTATACTACTTATAAATCACATCCCTTTTAGTATAGGACCCATTTATATCCAAAATGTATCTATTTTTTTAGCCGTATTCAAACAAGTGTTTAGTCATGAAGCACTCCATCTGGTAAGTCAAGTTATCTGATCTCTTGAATCTAACTCTAGCCTTCTTCTTTTGCCAAACAACTTTCCGAGTCAATGTGTTCAGTTTGCCAGGGAATTCTTCTTGTATTTTTCTAAATGTTATTAGGAATGGGGAAGACAGATTAGGGGGAGTGCCTTTGAGGAGGAGTTTCGCACATTTATATTCATTAAAAAGCTTCCACTTTTCTTCTCCCTCGTTTTCTCTTTTCATTTTTTGTCTCCCAAACTCTGGTGGTTCTCCTGGTGTCTCTATAATCCATTTTGTTGGATCTTTTTTCTTATCCTCTAGTTTATTTTGAAGTCCTGAAAGATAAGATGCTTTTTCCTTTTCCAATATTACAACAGAATCTTGCAGATTTTTGGGGGCTGTGTTAAGCTGTAATTCCTTTCGTTTGTAGCCTCCATCTTAGGGTCACTTTCCTCTGATTTGTGTTCTATTGTCATTTTCTGAGAATTTTTTAAATTGTGAGCTTAAGTTAAAGATGTGCTCATTTATGTCATCAAAATTATTTTTAATCTTATCATGATTTGAAGTAATTGTTATTTGAATTAGTTGCAACATAGCATGCATTTCCTCCTGGAAGATATTTGCCTTGTCTTGAAGTATTACTCCTACAGATCTCTGATGTTCCAGGCTGGGAGTTTCAGAAAAGAATCTTGGGTGTGGTTTCCTACCACGTTTAATTAGGTATACAACATCCATTTTATCTCCCCCCTCCAAATAATCTTTCACAGGTACCATAATCCCTGTATATTAGTCTTATCCAACCAACCAATCTTAAGGTCCAAACAACAAAGTCTTGTATAATTCTTATCTTTATGTATGGCCTTTACATCCAATACGTTTCCAATTGTCAATCCATCACTGAAAGCAATATTTTATAATGGTTCTTCTGCTCAGAGGTCCTACAATTATCACTCAGCCAACATTTGCAGTCCAAAATGTTCAACCACCTAAGAACAATTCAGGAGCTTCCCCTCCTAGAAGAGTAGCCAAAAGTCAAGGTTTTTCTTTTTCTGTAAACAATTCTTGAGCTTAAAGATCACGGCTCAGTAAGTGTTTATAATCCAAGAAGGTCAGCAATTTTTATAGTTCTCAGTCTGTAGTAAATAGCCCAATATATTTTCTCTCCTCTGTTCCCAGCTGTTCTTTGTTTAGCTGAGAGTCACTGAGGATCAAAGGGACAGGTTGTTATCTGTTTCTGGGCGTCTTGCCTGTTTCTGAGCCAAAACAGCTATAATTCTATACTCTAATCCACCACTAGATGTCAGTAGTTATTCATTTTCCAACTTTTAAAACAGAAAATTGTTTTCTTGTAATTTTATCAATACTCTTTCAAAGGGAAGATCTTAACAATTTCCACAATTTTCAGGTTTATCCAGACTATAGCTTTATATTAAATTCCATTTCAATATGTTTCTGTTCCTCATACAAAACTAGAGCCGCTTCCGTCTGGAAGGATGGGGCGATCTCCTTCCTTTTCACTTTCAGAGGATTTTTGCTTCTTGGGGAACTTTTCCAGGAAATCAGTTGCAAGATAGAAAAGATTGATATTCTCATCCAGTTTCCAATATGCTGTTCACAGTCTGTTCCAGTTGGTGCTTTTGGACTTCGGCTGCCAGTAGCGAGCTAGTCACTGAGGTGCAGCTAGCCTTTCTCCTGTCAGTTTGGAGGGCTTCCTTCGGATCAAATGGATTGACCGCTGTCTTTCCGTGATCAGTGGGGGGGTGTCTCCTTCTTGGTCATCTGTCCGGGCCGACTTTAGACCCATTTAGGGCCCCCTGGCAGGATGAAGTCAGCCATGGGGTGTGGAGCTCTGCAATCGCTTGGCTGCGTCACCACGACACAAAACCAGAAGTCCTGTCCTCCAAGGTCTTCAAGGGCCATTTTTCTTTGGGCAGAAAGAGAGTGTGGTTCTTCCAACCTGGGCCTGGGCCCTTTATCGCCAGATAACCACTGTTATCTGTCATGCCTGAATGCACCCCCACCTGCTAGCAATTGGATTATTTTGGACTGTTAATGCTTTGATTTGAACCAAGTTTCAAAGACATGAAAACAGCCTCTTCTCCTCCTTTTACGGATGCCCTTCCACTCCAGGCAGTTGACCTCCCAGCTGGAAGAGTTAGAAGGAGGGAGAAGAAGTTCTAACAGGAAACAAAACGGGATGGGGGGTCTAGTTATCTGTCAAAACTATTGGAAATCATGATTTTCCCATGGGCTGGTAACAGTAAGAAAGTATATGGAATACAGTCTTCCTTTGATGGGAAATGGGGGTATGTCTTTCAATTGCAAATCAGAATAGAGGCTATTGCAAGCATGAGGACATTAGTTTTCTGGTGACTGAGATGAAAAGTGAGTACTTTAGCTGAAGCAGTAAGTGATATAAATGAAAATACTGGAAAATAAATCCAAGTTAAAATGAGTCTCTTAATTTATTCCAGATTGACAACTTTCACGCATGACTCTCTTTAGTAGACAAGGAATAACACTGATGAAAATACTTCAATATTAAAACAATTTCCAAAATGAGAATATTAAAACTATATCAAGGCAACATTTTCCTTAGTATTTGGCTGTGGATGATAGGAAGAGTAATTCAGGACAACTGAAAAATGTAGGCTTGTTGGAATAAAACAGTTTGATATCAGGTTAGTCCTTAACCAAGAAATAGGAAATGGATTCAAGCAGTCATACAATGAAGATTTTTTTAAAAAAAGACCAAAGAATATAAACCCTGAGTTCACTATAAACATGGCTATTGGAGACATGGAATTCACTGAAATTCTTTTAATATTCTTTCATAATAGCTTCACTGGCTTTTCTACAACAAAACAAAGAAGTTCTTTGTATGCCTTAATGGCTGTTGTGTTTGTTTTCTATTCGGCCTGACACAGACTGTGGAAGACTACAGCTGCAACATGAGTTCCCCAGTGAAGTAAATCCATTGATTCAATTGTTCTTCCTTCTAGATTGCTGGGTTGTATAACATTGATGCAACGCAAGCCATGGCCTTTGATGGGTGCTATCACGATACTGACATTGATCTTGCCACCTTGAGTGTACTTTTGGAAGAGGGAGCAGCACGCGAGCGAGTACCCAGTATCACCCCCCTGGATGAAGCTCACTTAAAAAGAAAAAGATTTTTGACAGGAACTGTGGGCAGAATTATTTTGCAAAATAACCATGTCATTGATACGTATTCCAGGGTTGTATTTCCTGCTATATATATTGTATTTAACTTTTTTTACTGGGGTTTATATATATAAATGAAGAGAGTTTTATTTTATTTTACTTATTTTATTTTCATGTGAACAACTGAGACTTGTTATAGTAAGCTAAGGACTCTCTTAGGTGAGCTGGATTTCTTGTTGATTACACTTTTTTTAAGATCAGCTAAGAATAGGTAGGTGCTATTACATTCTAGCACATACTGTACATTGTTTAAATGTACCCAAGCACTGATCAATATAAAGATGATTCAGACTGACAAACAGAATATAGCAACAAATGGACAATTCTACTCCAGTCTGCCTGTGTGTGTGTGTGTGTGTGTGTGTGTGTACACACACACAAAATGCAACATATTAAGAAGGAAGACACAATAGCTCTCAGTTACAATATTTTCTGATTGGTGAATTTGTACAATAAGCAGTATGCTGCTTCCTTTGTGATACACACAGCAATGACAATTATAGGACTTTTCACAATATTGTCAAATTGCTTTCAGAACTTTAAAAGCTTATAAGACCAGTTATATGAATGCTATGTCTGCAAGAACTCTTCCCATATCTGCCTGACTCTGCCACTTGTAAAACCAATGTCTCTCTTCTCCCAACATCGGATCTCATATCCAATTTTTGATTGTATTATGTATTTCAGAAGACCTGATATTCAGTTTTTGTATTATTGTGGAGGAGATTATGGTCTAATTGTGTTTAGAAAGGAAGTCTTGTTAACCAGATCAGATAAGATGATGATGATACCATATTCTCAGATAAATTCACATGGCATTGCACACAAATTAGATATGGGTTGTATTTATTTGTGTTTTGATTAACTTCAGTAAGAGATTTTAAAGGAGGAAATGAAAACATGAAGAAATGGGTTGTTTAATATTTGTTCTTCTGTTTTTTGTTCCAAAGTATTTCCACTTGTCGTTAATACTTCAAGAGCATTAACATATATACATAAATAAGCATAGGCTAATTCAGCTCCCAGATGGGTATAATCTCCCTTTATATTTATATACTACAAGTACATAAATTCTTGAGGCTTTTAATTAAACCATAACTTTTAAGGAGGTGGCAGTCATTTGTTTCAAAACTGAAAAAATATAAAGGATGATTGCAAGGATTATATATAAGGTACCTCTCATATATTAAGTATGGCTTTTTGCTTGTATACTTTTGAACAATTGTGAAGATGTTTCAAGAACACTTTTGAATACCATGCTTTCAAGGCTAGTTGGGGATCTTTATGCATCTAATGAAGCAAAGTTTAATCCATGAAAGAGCATGTAATACTACATTTATTATTTAAAATGCTATACCACATTAATAATTCATATTTTAAAACATACTTGCTCAAACCATAATTTCCTATTTATTTTTGATAGCTCCAAAAACATTGGAGTATCTCCATTCATTGCAATAAAATTTCAGAGAAACTGATTTGTAGGATGCAGTTTTAATTAATATTTAATTTTTCAGTGTACTTTTCAGTGTAGAAATATTTTTGATTAAAATATGAAAATTATATTTTGATGGTAGATTAAAATAAAAACTACTTTAAAACACTTGTCTAATATGTATAAAGGCATTTCTCCTCAATATTGAAAAATAAAAACTAGGTAGGCTTATGAAAAAGCAAAAAATATTGAATAGGTATCATATCTGATGATACAAAGAATTTTGAAGATGAATATTGAAAGTAAATGAGGACTTTTCATTGGCACTGAAAAATAGTAAAATTAGAAAAGACTTATGAAAAACTGTGTTATATATATTTAAAGTAAGATTATTATATGCACAAAGATGGAGAAATACTGAAATACTGAAATGGAGGAATGGATTCTGAAGATAGCAGAACTAGCAGAGCTGACAAAACTGACTTGCTTGGTTAGGGACAAAACACTAAGTTATTTTATTTATTTATTTATTTAATTTTTATCCCGCCCTTCTCCTTACGGACTCAGGGCGGCTGACAGCCTTATAAAACAGATACAACAATAAAATACCCAGTTTAAAACCTAATTTAAAAAGAAATATTTACTGTGGCCTATGTCAATTAAAATTTCTCTTAAAACCCCACTAAAAATTCCCCTAGGCCAATCCCGCTTGTTGGAAGAGCCATGTCTTTAGGGCGCGGCGGAAGGAGGGGAGATCCGGGATCATCCGGATCTCTGGGGGTAGTTCGTTCCAGAGGGTGGAAAGACTAAAAACTTTTTATGAAGTGTTAGCTGAAAATATAAAAAAGTGAAATGGTGATTCCTATATTAGATGATTAAAGAAAAATTTGAATGAGGGGTTGAAGAAATTATTGTAATGTTAAGAAAGGAGGAGGGTAAATGAGTTTGGAATTGTAAAGAAGGGCGAAAATAATTTATTTAATTCTTTTTTATTTTTTTCTATACTTTTTTTAATTCACTTCTGTATTGTCTTTTAGCTATGTAAAAACCTTTAACAAAAAGTTATACTAAAAAAATGAAATAAGAACATACCCTGTGCCTTCCCTATCACAGCATCTGCACACTAGAAAATCAATCCTCCTGAGATACATCTAGACCAGATGTGTCCAGTAGTCACACCTGTGACTCTGGGCAGCTAGTAATGCAGTCCCACAAGATAATAAAAAATATAAAAAATAAAGTTCGTTATTAATATACCTTAACTATATATTTTATATGCGACCCAAGACAATTCCTCTTCACTCATGGTGGCCCAGGCCAGCCAAAAGGTTGCACAACCGTGATCTAGACCGTAATCTGGCTATGTTTAAAACATTTGAAAACTTGGCTTTTCCTCTGAGGCTTTAAGTTAGAGTGAGTGTCACCTCTTGTGTATCTTGGGTTGTTAAGGCGAACATGGGGTGCCTGAAAGGTGGTGGAGACCCTGGGGGCTTAATGCAGGCACAAGGCTACCTGCTTCGGGCTCCCAAGGCCTCGGCCCAGGCCCTGAAATACCCCATGCTCCCATTCTTGTTCCTTGGAGCCCCTACAGCCACGTGGGCCTCCTCCCCATCTCTTGTCACTAACCATTCAAAGATCTCAAGAGCTCAGGAGATCTGGGTAGGGAAGGAGGACAGGCTGCTCTGTTGCTGGATCATGGCACAATCTCACAAGTGACCATCTTTTTCTGAGTGAAAAATAACACTGGCAAATCTCTCGGTTTTCTTTTCCTTGCTAAAGCTAGCCTGCATTATGCCAGCATAGCTAATGCTGGAGGAGCTATGGCTAGTGACAGCAAGAAAAAACCCCCACTTGATTTTGTTTTTCAAGCTAAAGCTAGCCGTAGCATCACCAGGCTAACGCTAGCACAGAGGACCTCCAGGTCTACATATCATGCTACAACTCCTGTTTTGATGTGCACTTAGTAGTTCTTGCTGCCACCATCTTTCTTCTAGGGTGGATTTCACCTGGCACCCTCCTCCAAACTCTGGTATGTGGGATAGGCTTTTACATTCTGTATAACTTTTTGGCCAATTAAAGAAAGAAAAAAGCAACAACACTATCTCCTTGCTTTGTAGTGTTACAGATATCAGCTTCTTCTCTCCCCCCCCCCCCATTTTTGGGAAGGCTGACTACTTTCACAAGAGATAAATAATATCAAACTTTTTTTTTGAAAAATGAAATTACAGTATAAAAATCTTTTTTTAATAGGCACAAGCAAAATTCAATGGCAAAATTGTACACATCTTAGAAACGTAATCATACCTAGAAATATATAAAGGAAAATACAAGTTCCTGGATACATCATAAAATGATGTTGTTCTACTGTATTTCTAATTTAAAGGGAACTCTGCTATAAGAGATTGCATAAAGCACACAAGTACACTTTGTCCGTAGAACATAAATACCAAAGGTATTAAATTAGACTAAACTCATGAAGACAATGTAAAGAAATACCCAAACTTATGCAATATTTCTAGTCAATTGTCTTTCATGTATCCTTTCAAAGATAACTTTTTTAAAAACAGACTTTTCTTTGCCCCAAATGTTTCTGAATTTCTCTTCCAGATCCCTAAGAATTTTAGTCATTTAATTCTGAGGTAGTTGGGAAGATATAACAAGTTGCTTTCTCTTGTTTTGATTCTCAACTTTTGCCTGTGTTTTAAAATGACAGCTTTTATCCTTAGGAGAAAGGAAGGGATTTGGGTTAATCCCCATTATCATGTTCTCAAATCATACTTCATTTGGATAGAATAGGCGTTGAAACCCAGATACTGCAGGCAAACAACGGATGTTGTGGGCAGTGTTACAGTATTAATGTGATTTTGATATGTTTTCTAGATCAGAGGTCCCCAACCTTTTGGGCATCAGGGAC